CACTACGCTACCAGAGCTCCTTGTATATATATATATATATATACACACACACATGCATAAAGAGAGAGAGAGTCCTGGTGGGGCACTGTGGGTTAATGCGCTAGACTACAGAGTCAGTTTGAACTGCAAGGTCAACAGTTCAAGCTTCCCAGCCATTCCCTGGAAAGCCTATACAAGGTTGCTATGGGTCAGCCTTGACATCAACAACAACAACAACAACAACAACAACATACATATATATATTTCACATATATATGTGGTGGTTTATTAGAAGAGTCTGAGACAGACTTTCCTTCTTAATAAGAGGCATGAGTCACATTTTAAAAAGTCTCTGGTTTCCACTTTCTTCCTAATTGCCTAGGATGTGATCAAGAAAAGATGACTGGAGCTACAGCAACCCTATTGTGACCATGAGGAGAGGAAAACAGAACTGCAGTTATTCTGACCGAGCACCTTGACGTTGCAGTGCTGCTAAACCAATCTCGAAAGGCTCATCTCTAGACTTTTTGTCAGTGAGAAAATGACTTAAGCTATTGCTTGAGCCAGTCTGAGTTGGAATGACTGTCACCAGCAGTCAAAACCTCTGCTGGACACAATTCCTGAAGCCAACTGTCAAAGCAAAGTAATGTTTTCCCACCCATGGGTTTTGATGACCTACAACTTGTTCTGTCCTTTGAAATATCCTGATTCTGGGAACATGCTTCTTGATTCATTATCAAGGTAATACAAGTATTATTGTTCAACTGAAACCAAACCAGATGCTCTAGTAACAAGCGTCTTTGTGACTAAACCAGATCCCCCACTGACTCCCCTATATCATCTGGTCCACAGGCTCCAGAGCCCAGCGTGGCTCTAACCAGCCTTCCCTCCCCACTGTATAGCATCAGCACCATGCTACGCATCTTTTGCTGGGCAAAGCCCCTTTTCTAGTCCAACCAGGAAGTCCCAAGACTACTAAACAAGTGGTTCATGCGGTGTCTGTCCTGACTGCTTTGTGCCCATATTTTCAACTTCACCCTGCTCAAATCCGTTTCTTCCTTTCATTCTGACCCGAAGCTCTCTTCTAAGAAACCTCACAAACCTAAGGTGTCGTTTGCTCCTGCCTGAACCAAGACAGCCACCATTTCCTCAGTCATCTTTGCTCCAGGCTCTGCCTCCAATCCTACTTGTACACTTCAGAGCCGCCTTCTTGAAGCTCTGCTTTCATGATTTCACTCCTCTGCTCAACCACACTCAATGACTCCCAGCTACTTACAAGATAAAGTCTGAACACTTTAGCTGAACATCAGAGACTCTATACAACCTAACCATACCTGATTTTTTACTTTTTCTTATCTCTCCAACCAGATTCCTCTCCCCCAACAAGGCTGTCCTCTTGATTAACCTGCCCTGCATAGCCTCATCTCATGCTGCTCCTCCACCTGCATTGTTCTCATGACTCCTTTCCTGGGGTATCCTGAAGGCCCAGCTCACACACAGCTCCTTCTCTAGGAAGCCAGCCCTGATTCACTTTCATCGAAGCCATAGCTTTCTCTCCCAAGTGCCCTCACCTCTCACTGAATGTCATTTGATTCCTTTCTTTGATGTACTCAGGGTGGGCACCCACTCCCTTAAGATATGAAGAATTTTTATGAAGAAAGTGGGATAACAACATTTTCATTTCTTCATCCTGTCCAGTAGAGTCCGGGTGGATATGCACTCGACCTCAAAGTGGGTTTGAACCATAAAGTCAGCAGTTCACAACTTGCCAGCTGCTCATTGGAAACCCTATACAAGGTCACCATGAGTCGGAACCAACTCAACAGTACTTAACAACGACAATACCCTCACCAGTATCCAACACACTGTTTCCCCCAATACTTAATTAAAGCTTGATTCAACTCGATTTTTGGTTCGATTCAATTCCATTAAGTTCAAAAAACCTTTGTTGTTGTTGTTGTTAAGTGCCGTCGAGTCAGTTCCGACCCATAGCGACCCTGTACAGGGTTTCCGAGGGTGTAAATCTTTACGGGAGTAGAAAGCCTCATCTTTCTCCCGCGGAGCGGCTGATAGTTTCGAACTGCTGACCTTAAGGTTCGCAGTCCGATTCGTAGCCACTACGCTACCAGAGCTCCTTTAAAGACATCTAAATTGTACCATATCTTATGCTAACTCCTGGAAGCTCAGAAAGCTCAAAGCCTGGAAGAAGAGATGGCACATAGACAGATAGTCATTCATAGTGAAGTGTTAACACAGATCTACCCACAGTGTTTCAGAAACATGAGAGGACTTGGAGCTGGGCAGGGGTACGGTACCCCTCACTGCCAGGGACCTTATGCTAGGGACACTAAGTAGTAGGGATGGGGCATTGTTTTCAAGGGTCTTCTGTCTGATGCTTGGAGAATCCCGAATTAAGTAGAACAATTTTCTGGTTTTCTTTTCTGAGGGATTCTCTGCCTGCGATTCCCACCCTCAGGTAATCAAGAGCTGACACTGAATCGGAGGCAGCCAAATGCTGGAGGGCTCTTTTGAGCTGGATACTGTTGCTCTTGAGTTGATACATGGGAAGAGTGAGGCCAGATGGGTTAAGTGACTGGCCAAGGTCACTCTCTCTTAAACGGCTGGGCTAAGAAACATCTTGAGACGTGGGTCTTTGAAAAGAAAGTAAAGAGAAAACAGCTCATGCTGGGTACAAGTGCAGGCTTTGGACTCAGACAGGCCTGGAATGTGAGTGTTGTCTCTGCTGCGTGTTAGCTGGGCAACAGTGTACGAGCGTATCCTCAATTTCCTCAATGCCAACTCATTACTCCATAAAATTAAATGAGTTGACACCTGCAGCACTTGAATCCCGATGGGTCAATGGCAATCTTAATGTCGTGAATGAATCTGGAAGCACTCCTCCTAACACCAGAGCACTGTTCAGGGCTGTGTCTGCTCCCAGAGCTAAGGATAAAGCAGACACTGGTCAGTACTCCCTCATCTCTCCCCTTCCATGCCCCTTGCTTGCCTAGGCCCTAACTGCCCCTACTACAGCTCAGTAGCTCCCCTCATCATGTATTCCACACAGCTTCATAGGGAGAGCCAAGGGGGGCCCTGTCTGTCTTCTTCATGGACACAGAGTCTGCTAAGACCAGGCACTAGATTTTACCCAGCTACATGCCATCCTACTTCCAGCAAAGGATAGGCTCAGATATCTGTTTGACCACATATGCTAAGTTTATGCTTTGAGCCCCCACAAAGGACTCTTTGGAACTGAGATACAGGTGGCAACCCTTTGTCAGCAAGAGTTTTCTGGAGCAGGGGGCCCAGGTTGCACTTGGAAGTTTGGGCAGGACTGGGCCACGCAGGTCCAACCCAAAACATACTTAGTAGGAGAATGGTGGTGTTAACTCCAGCTAAGCAGAGTGTGTGGACAGGTGCCTTTAACCAGGTGCCTCTACCTGGAAGCTCAAAGCCTCAGACCCCAGTGTCCACTTCTTCCCTCTGTTCTGGGAGGATGAGACAGGAAGTCCAGGCCGGGCCTTGGCTGAGGTTGGTGGTCTAGTGGACAGGGTAGGGGTAATAAATGGCTGTATGTGAGAACAGATGGGTGTGTACAGGTATCTTAGTGTGTGAGGGCAGGGAGAGATGAGTAGATGGGGCTGTTGTAGTGCAGGTGTGAGGATGACAATAAGAAGAGCTAACTCTGATAGTGTAGTGGTTATGAATCGGGTTGTGAACCTCAAGGTCAGCAGTTCAAAACTACCAGCTGTTGCATGGGAGAAAGATGAGGCTTTCTGCTCCCATAAAGATTTACAGCCTCAGAAAGACCCTGTACAGGATTGCTACGAGTTGGAACCAACGCCACGGCACGTAACCACCACCAACAACAACCTTTAGTGACACTATAGGATAAGCACTGGACTGCTAACCACAAGGTTGGTGGTTTAAATCCATCAGCCACTCCTCGGAAACCGCATATATTATGAGTAGGAACCAAATCAATGGCACTTAACACTACCAACAACACTGGGCTGCTGATGGCAAGGTTGGTGGTTCAAACCCACCAATCACTCCTTGGAAACTCTATCCAGGGTCACTATGAGTCGGAACTGACTTGACAGCATTTAATGACAACAAGAACAATCTTTAGTGAGTACTCACTGTTTCTCAGGTGCTTCCAGAATTATGTCATTGACTCCCCAGGCCACACTATGAGCCAGGCACAATTATTATCACCTTTTTATAGATGTGGAAACTGAGGCATACAGAGGCTGAACAGCCACCCAGCAGTAGCGGTTGTTGGGTTGGCCCCAGCGTGTCCACACAGACCCAGGGGTGTCTTGTAAGCTATGCTTGGGAGATACAAGTGTGAGAGCGGGATGGGAATGTGTGTGTGTCAGAGGTGGGCAGAGTGAGCATGTGGGTGCAGGTCACTGCACCAAGGCTGAGGTGGGTGCTGAGAGCAGCTTTGAGTATACATGTTGCTGCAGGTGAAGCTATGAATGTGGAAGAAGGTTGGAGGTGGGTGTGAGTTGGGCTGGGGGTTCAGTGAGTTGTGTGGGCTGGTATGCATGGGTATGAGCGTGAGCACAGGTGTGTGAGGTGGTGTAACTGGATAAAGGGGTGGAGGGTCACAGCTTTTCCCTCAGGTCACAGCTATGCTGGGCAAGTTGACAAGGGTCAGATCCTGGGGCTCCGGCTCCTTGTCTCCTGCTCCCACCCGGGCCAGGCCAGGCCACCCACCTGTACTGTCGTCATAGACCACGGTAGCTGACCGCCACTTGAGATACTGGACCAGATCAAGGATGGCGTGGCTGAGGGAGGCGTAGTCGGGGTAGAGGTTCACATAGAAAGTATCCTTGTTGTCCAGTGGGTGGTGTTTCCAACGCAGCTGGATGTGGGGCACCTCGAGGGCATTGCAGATGGACTGGACAGCATTGGTGCAGGAACCCAGTGATGGCCCGAAGATCGCCACCACACCCAGGGCCAGCTGGTCACAAGCTGCAACAGAGGAGAGGGTAGTACAGTAGTCAGTGCTGGGACCGATCAGGTGGCTGGGAGACTGGGCATGACAGAGGTTTTGTTCGTCTCGTAGAGACATTTCCAATAGATGGGGGAAACAGCAGCTGGAAACCGATGAAATGGCAACCTCTCTGACTCTGTCTCCTCATCTGAGAAGTGGGGATTCTAGGAGTCTCACTTGCTCTTCTTCCTAATCTTGAGAATTAGCCAATGAAAACCATATGGACCACAACAGACAACTTTCCAATACAGTGCTGGGAGATGGAAGGCACCGCCCAATGGCTGCAACAATGGACTCAGATAAGATCGTGATCATAAAGATGGTGCAGGTCCAGGCAGCATACAGAAAGAAGGGCACCCATCAATCATAGTCCCTACCTTGACCTTGTAGGGTTGTAGATTCCCAGCACAGTTCTTGGTCTAAGAAATGGTTGGTCTTTGTGATGTTCATCATGACAAACATCACAAAGACGTTCATCATTGTCATGAAGAGCTCCACCAGCTCTGTGCCACAGCCATTCTGGGTGAGAACTGGAGACACACAGAGGAATCTACTTGCTGATGCCTCTTAAATCTTCAGCTCTGACCTGCTTCTGAAAATCCACCTTGTATCACTCATTTTTCACACATCTTCATCACCTGGATGTCTAAAATGCTTCTCAGATCTAACGTGTCCAAAACATAACCCTTCTTCTCTTCCCAGCCTCCCCCATCTCCAAAAGCAGCAATTCCATTGCCCCAGTGCCTCATGCCAGAAACTCTGGCTGTTTTCTCAGCTCCTCTCATTCCCTCACCTCTCACATTCCAATTCACAAGCAATTCCTGTGGCTTTACCTTCAAAATGGCAGAAGACGACGAGTGCTCGCTCCCACTCCAACTATCACCCTGGTTCGAGACCCCTTCATCTTTCATCTGGATGATTGCACTGTTTTTCTGCTTCCTTGGTTATCTCCACCTCTTTCCCCTCGCTGCCTATTCTGTCCTCATCAGTCAGCAGATTATTCCACTCCTTTGCTCAAAATCCTTCCAGGGCTCCATCTCACTCAGTGTAAAAGCCAAGGGCCTCACAGTGGACTACACTTTGACTGCCCATTCATGCTCTTCTTTGGCTGAACGGACGTTTTGAGTGTCTGCCCCTACCACTATGCTCACCTTAAGAAAGTTGGAACCATGTGTGAGTCACTCTGTACCCATGGAAGCAGAACACCAGCATGGAGGGGATGGTGACAGTGTGTAAGGGATGATAGCCATGCAAGCTGTCCAAGCGTGAGGACATGGGCACCCTATAAAATCTTCTAGGGTGCTGCAACCCAACTGTTATGACCTTCTACATATTCCACTTTGTGTCTCTCCTCTTTTTTTCCCTCAGATCTTTCAGAATGATGAATTACTGGTCTATCTTATTGGTGGAATTACTAACATATCCTATTCTCTCCCACTACCACCTCCACGAATCTGCCTCTTGGATTTACTCTTTTCAACTATGCCTTGAAGCAAGCAGGAAATGCTGTCCTGACACTCCACCCTCACCCAGCTCAATCTTTTAGATCTTGTCCCCCTGTCCGGGTCCAAGATCTGGGTATCCTATTTGACTAAGATCAGGGAAGAATGGCCCAAACACAAATTGTGATGATGCAGAAGATTTGTAAGAATGATCTTAAAGGAAGTGACAATTATTTTGACACCAACTGAGGATAACAGAAAATGTGATTGTAATAACAGTTGTGATGGTGAAGGTCCTACTGTGATACTGTTCATGATAATGGTGATGGTGTTGATGAAAGCGAACTTGATGATAATGTTGACGGTGTGACGAGAATGGTAGTATGGTGCTGATGATTGTGATGTTGATGAAACTATGTTGATGTTGACGCTTTGACACTTTTGATAAGGATGATAATGACGGCAGTAGGTATGGTGATGGCAGTGTGGATGCTGTTAGCACTGGAGAGGCTACCAATGTTGATGGTAATGACAGTCATGGCAGGATGGTATTAATGGTGTATGTGTTGATGAGGTTGGTGATGGTGAAGATGTTGATGTCATGATGGTAATGTTAATGATGATAGCAGAAACAGTGCTGGTGGTAATGATGGGACTAGGAGTTGACAGCTATGTGGCAATGATATTGGTGTTGATCTGTTGACAGTGACATTATAATGTTGATGGGCTTCATTCTGTCACAGACGCTGTGAACAGATCTTGCCATTGGGTGACAGGAGCCATCAACCCTGTCCTTCTGCTAGTTCTCCTTGGCCTGTGTCCATATCCCTTTTCCTGTCCCCTCCAGGTCCCTTCCACTCTGAGGATCTTCCAGACTAGAAAATCACTGCTGCCCCAGAAAGAGCAGAGTAGGGGTTATAGTAGTAGAGCAGCAGCAGCAGCTTTATTTCCAGATGTTTCCTGGGCAGCAGCCAACCCTTGTTCTGGCAGCCTTGAGCATGCACTGCAGTGATTACATTATTTTGTGGCTTCAATTTTGAATCCATTTTCTGGTCATTTTACAGTAACTCAATGGTTCACAGTCATTGCTGGAGTCCACAGCCTGAATGAAGTCTCCCCTCCTCCCGCCCAACTTGCCATGGCAATTGTAGTTATAGCAAAAATTATCTCAATCAATTTGTGTCTTAAAAGGAATTGAGCAGCCCAGAGAATAAGTGAAGGCAGAGGAGCCTGGGGAGTACTGGGTCGATTCCAGACCCGCTCCGGTCAGGCTTGGAAGCAAACACAGATGCTCTCTGAGCTGCTGGCTCAGGCCTCGCCTGGCAGTCATTCATATTTTAATTTCCACAAAACATTTAAAAATAAAGACAATAAATGAAAGTTCGCTCTAATGGGGAAAGGCCTCCTGGGCCTTATGTGGTGGGAAAGATTAATTCAACCAGAGCTGGCAGTCAGGAGGTGTCAGCCAGGAGGTACTGTACTTCCTTCACCCACACGGCCAGAGGTGGTTGGAGACAGCTGGTGGGGAGGGGACTGTGATGGGAACCTCTGTCTAGGGAAACAAGAACATCATGAGATTCATTAGAATCAGGCCCAAGTCAATTCACCTGGAAGAGTCTTAAAGATTCCCCCAAGGAATGCAGTTAAGAAAACACAAAATCAAAATTAAATTTCTTTTTAAGATCATGGTAACTAACATAACACACTCCAAGGGATGGTGAGATTCATCGATGCCCAGTGGGGAGTGTGATCCAATAGCAGAAATGCCTCTTGGGTCACAGAGTGATACTTCCAAGTGCAGCGGGGTCCTGTCTCAGAGCACACACTTTGGGGAGAGTGATGGCAGAGGGGACGTTACATCATTTATTTACTGATTTTATTGAGGTATAACACAATCTACCATGCATCTGCCAGTCTGTCATACTGTGGTGACTTACATGTTGCTGTGGAAGCTAAGCCACCAGTATTTCAAATACCAGAAAGGCCACCCATGGTGGACAGGTTTTAGTTGAGCTTCCAGAGTTAGACAGATTAGAAAAAAAACCCAGCAATCGACTTCTGAAAATGTGACAGTGAAATCATTATGGACCATGGTAGAACTCTGTCCAACTCGCTTGCTTCATTCAGGAGATCAATCACAAGAGGCTCAGTGAAGGAAAGGTCTGAGAAGTACATCGGACAGCTGGCATGAGATGGGTGGGCACAATAATCCCAACAGTGGACTCAACGTGCTGGTGATTGTGAGGATGAGACAGGACCAGGCAAGGCTTTCTTCCATTGTACATAAGGTCACCCTAAGTCAGTGTCTACTCAATGACAGCTAACAGCACTGACAATGTAACACAACACAATGAAATACACTAATCTTATTAGGCACATAACTTTTATGAAGTTTTACACGTAACATTACTCATACAATCACTACCTGGATCAAGATATATGTTTCTAAAATCTAAGAAGGTTCTCTCATGCCCCCTTGCACTCAATAGCCACTGCACACTACTTCCCCCCGCCCCCTGCCAAGTCACTATGTCGATGGGATTCACTCATGTGTATCAAGCAGAACTTTAGAATCCCATTATGTAAGTATATGCTAATCTATCTATTCTTCTATTGATGGGCCCCTAATGCATCTCCAACTTCTGGCTATTATCAATAAAATGTCTACGAACAGAACATTCTCATAGGCACATGTGTAGTTTAGTTGTTGTTGTTGTTAAGTGACGTTGAGTTGATTCTGACTTATAGCAACAATGTATAGAGTTTCTGGGGTGTGGCTGGTGGGTTTGAACAGCTGACCTTATGGTTAGTAGTCCAGTGCTTATCCTACAGAACCACACCAGAGTTCCCAGCAGTAGATACTGCCAAACAATTTTTCCAAGAGGTTGAACTAAATAATCCGTGGCCAAGGCAACTCTCAAACCTTCCTTTCTTGCACCATCTCCTGCAACTCCCAGTCTTTCACCTACTGTTTCAGTCATACTGATGGAAGTTACACACCTGCCTCAAGTACCTTAGGATCCCCAGCACTTAGCACAGTGCCTGGCACACAGTATGTACTTGACCTCTACAATGTAACTTCCTTAAAATGCTGTCTCGACACAAGGGATTAAGTCCATTCTCCAACCCCTCCCCTTTATCATGTTCTCACACTCCTGGGACACTACCCACATCCCCTAATTGCCCTAAAGTCCGGTGCCCAATGACCAGGACAGACCCTATGTCCCCAGAGCCTGCCGAATTATCCAAAATGCCCAGGCCTCAGGAAGTCCATGAAATCTATCTAGCCCTTCCCTACTTGCCACTCATAAGTAATCTCCCACAATTCCAACTTGTTGGCTTGTCCCTGAGTGTATCCCCCTGTGTGACCCTGTGTCATGCATGTTGTACCTCCCTGTCTCTGGGAATGATGAGGATAATGAACCTTGTTATTTTTCACACCCCATCCCAACTCCTCTTTCTCCCAGAACACCACACGTATCATCCCATGAACCTCTTAGAACAACTTCCCCCAAATAACTTCTACTTTTCACTCTACTGTTTTTGCTCTTTCCCACCATCCTTCAACATTCAGTTCAAACCTCTCCACCTCCAGGAAGCAACGGAGACCCTTGTGCCAGGCCACTCATGTGTTTTCTTCCCATCTTCCATGTGTTCTAGATATTGGTAGTATGACCAAGCTTCTACCCCACTGGGCATGGCCTCCTGCAAGGCAAGGCTTTGTCTTTCACGGGGATCAGGAGGAGTAATTCTTGGTTGGAGGGTTTGACTCATTAGGACTTCATTCATCCATCTAACCAAACCACCAATCGTCATTTTGTGCCCACTGTGTGCTGGACCCATGCAGTCTAGTAGATGAGGTGGGCAATTAACATGTAATTGTACATACATATATATCAACATCTTTTACTTTTCACTCTACTTTCTTTGCTCTTTCTCACCACCCTTCAACACTCAGTTCAAACCTCTACTCCTCCAGGAAGGACACGGGAGACCCTTGTGCCAGACCACTCATGTGTTTCCTACTTATAACTTGGGAAAGGATGGCAGGATGGAGGCTCTGGACTGCTGGCTGAGCACATGGAGGACAATGCCACTAGTTGTAACAAGAGTAAGTTTCTCTGTGGTACTTACCACATGCCATACACTGTTCAAAGCACTTTATAGACAGAGTTCATTTGATCCTCATAACTCTAAGCTGTGCCCATTTTGTAGATGAGGAAACTGAGGCACATGGGATTTTGCCCAAGGTCACACAACTAATATTTCTAAGGAATAAATCCAGGTTATTTGGCGCTGAACCCATGCTCTTAACCACCACATTAGATGGCCTTTCTATTCTGAGATGCTTACCCACAATGGGGCTTCTGAAAACAGAACCAGATGCACTACACCTTGGCAGGTCTGAACATGGAAGCCCAGGAGATCAGAAGCCCGGCTTGGGAGAAAGGTGTTCTTGTCTAGATACTGGAGCCCTTAAGAATGACCTAGGGCCCTTGTCTTCCCAAGATGCATGAACAGCACTGCCCCCTAGGTCAGAGTTCCCATGGCCATTCTCACATGCTTATTCAATGATCCATGCCACAACCATTTCAGGGATGCACATTACACAGCAGTCCTCTAGGTGCTAGGAGTTTATCAATAAACAATGAGAGCCTTCCTTTCAGTGGTATTGGGGAGAAAGGGAAGGGCGTGGAACACATACAATGATTTAATTACAAATAGCAATAATGGCTTTGAAAGAGAAAAGCAAGGGGGCGGTGATAGAATATTACAGGAATGGTTTCCTTAGGTCTGCAGTTTTTAATTAAGTTCTGTGGAACTCCAGGGTTTTAAGGGGGGCTATTTCCAGAGTTATCTATACCCTCAAGCTAAGTTTGGATTTTTAAAAATGGGGGTATGTATGTATGTGTATATGAACTAGGTTTCCTGGCACACAAATGGTTAACACTCTTGACTGATAATCAGAAGATTAGAGGGTTGAGTCCACTCAGAGATACAGCAGACAAAAGTCCTGGCAATCTACTGAAAAATTAGGCACTAAAAACCCTATCAAGATAAGTTGTACTCTGATACATATGGATAGTTATAGGTCAGAATTTAACTCAATGGCAATTGGCTTATATATGAACTGCACATTTTTAAAGCCTGTTCATTCAGGTATTAACCAATTACCTTGTGTGTGTGTATGTGTGTGAGGACCTTGGAAAAGAGCTAGCTAGTCATTCCTGTACAGTCAGTCAAGTTTATTTTAAATGTTCCACTAATTGTGAAGGATGTAGACCAATAATATTTTCTTTTTCTTTTTAAAATTCCAATGATGCTTATATTGGGCAAAAAAAAAGGTTTAGTTGGATGAACTATAATTTGTTTTATGAATTCCGATTTTCTTTTTATTATGCAGTCAAAACAAAATACAGAAATGTATTGAATGCTGAGGCCAATGTCAGACTTTAAGTGTTATCCATAGTCTCAGAGGTCAACTTTGTTGCAGCCATGAAAGAAGCTTTGGTGTTTTTTTACTAAGATTTTATTTTTTCTTTTTAATGATAAGTAAATATTAGGTTTCTGAATGTATACATTATCTGAAAATTTAAATATTGGTATTCTGGGTAGGAATTCAATGAAAGAAAATCTAGTTTGAAAATGCTGCTTTGGAGGTGTTGGAGACCAGGGCTGCCTCCTTGCTGTCCCTCCCCTTCCCCCCAGTTCAACTGCAAGTCTACCACATTTCCACCTCCACCACCCTCCCAAATTCTTGATGGACAGCCAATCACTTCAGGGGAATGACACAGCCCGAGCAGAACTAGGACCAAAGAAGGCCCTCAGACCAGGAAGAAAAGGCTCCAAAGCCCAAACCAACCCACAGCTCTGGACCAGTTTCCAGGACCTTGGACAGCAAACCACTACTCAGCTCCACAGGTAGGGAAGAGAACTGAGCTGAAACTGCACACTCACCCTTCTTGGTGGCTTCAAAGCTGTCATGGAAGTGGATCCTCTGGATGTCATAGGTCAAGGTTGTGTTGGGCAGCAGAGTCCTGTTCCTGTTGATGATGTTGGCAGAAAATCGAAAAGCATGCTCCTCTGAGTTCATGACCTGGGCGTTGGGGCCATCCGCATACTCAAAGATTCCTCCTGCGAGAGATGAGTAAAACTGTGTGTGGGATGGGGAAGGGAGACTCCAAAAAGATGCTTAGCTATGAAATTTTTATGAGCAAGATTTCCCACCCCTCAATAATATCCTTGATCATTTTCATACCTAGAAATTGTGCTGGAGCATAGCAAAAATGGAAATCTGCCTGCTTCCTTTCACTCGACTATCAAATTCCTGATAACAGAGCTTGACAAAGAAGGAAGGTCTCCCCCACAACCCCAAGAGAATTACCAACTTATTAATATTGCTGTGAAAATTCTCAATAAAATGCTGGCAAATGGAATCTACAGAACATTACAAGGATAACATACCATGACCATGTAGAGTTTAATTCCAGGAATGTAATGGTGGCTCAATATAAAGAAATCTATGAATATCATTCCATCACATCAATAGCTTAAAGGAGAAAAAAACATATGATCAACTCACAAAAGTCAGACAAGCATTTGATAAAATCCAATTTTGACTGCTGTTAAGAATGTTTAATCAAATAGCACCAGAAATGAGATTTTTTAAAAAGTGCCTTTAACTCGGATTGTTCTCCAGTATTATACTAATGGTGAAACACTAGAGGCATTCTCACTAAAGAGCAAAAAAGGGGCTTAGGATTCACCACTAAGCACCAAAATAAGAAGAAAAAAATTAAAGAGGCACAGCTATTAGAAAGACAAAATTTTTATTTGCAAATGATATGAATGCCTCTCAAAAGCTCTTAAGATAATTCTAAACATGAACACTGGTCAGAATTAGTAAGAGAGTCAAATTAAATGACCAGTTAATGCAGATTAGCAGTGCTCCTTTATTTTAGCAACAACCAGTAAGAAAACTTAATGGCAAATGCCTTCTTTTACAATATCAAAAAATACTCAATAACTAATAAAAAGCCAAACAATTCCAGTATTAAAAAGAACAAAAACACTTGTTAGTGAGATACATAAAAGTAGACTTAAGTACAGCCGGAATACTCCTTAGAAGTGAGGATGGTGAAACTTCGGCTCACATACTTTGGACATGTTTATCAGGAGGAACCAGCTCTTGGAGAAGAACATCATACTTAGTAAAGTGGAAGGGAAGAGATAAAGAAGATGTGTTAGGGTTTGTGCCAAGTTGGCTGGACCAGGATTCTTAGTGGTTTAGCTGTTAACATGGAGTTATCACCTCTATGATGAGACTTACTACAATGCAAGCTTTCTCATGATGTGATCAGCCCTGATCTGATGTGAATATCCTATGTGTTGCAAATCCTCACTGCTATGATTTCAACGAGGTTGGATGCAATCTATAGGATTAAGTTGTATCTTGAACCAATCTCTTTTGAGATATAAAAGGATAGAAAAGTGAGCAGGAAAGAGAGACCTACTACCACCAAGAAAGAGGCCCAAGTGGAGGACGTCCTTTGTACCAGGGGTCTCTGCACTGTGAAGCTCCTAGACCCAGGGAAAGATTGATACTAAGTATGTGGAGATCTCTGAGTAATGCTGGTCCTGCAGAGGCTGAAAAGAGGCAAGGACCTTTCTCCAGAGTGGGAACTCTGAATTCAGACTTCTAGCATTCTAAACTATAAATTTCTGTTATGGCAGCACTAGATAACTAAGACTGAGGAAAATCCCCAAAAGAGATGGGTTGATACAGCAACTGAAACAATGGGTTCAAGCCTGCAACAATTGTAAGTATGGCTCAGGACCAGGCAGTGTTTTGTTCTGTTGGACATAGGATCGTCATGAATTGGAACCGATTCAAGGGTACCTAACAGTAGCAACAACGATAGACTTAAATAAAAAAACAGGTCCTGTTCTTGAATAATATGGTTCAAGGGTATAGGTGTCAATTTTCTTCAAATTTATTTTTCAGTTTAGTGTAATTCCAATCAAGAAAGATGCTTCTATATGCTTGATAAGATGACTCTAAAACCCACCCAGCAGGCTACACAAGAAACAACAGCCAAGTCATGTCTTTAAAAGAATGATTAGAAGTAACTGGTATTGCCAGATATTTAAATGTACCGAAAGTCAAATAATTAAAAATCACATTGTATCGGCACATGAGAACACAGACTGAGAAATGGAGTAATATTAAAATAATCCAGAAGTAGACTCAAGTAGAGATAAGTACTTAAGACATGATAAAAGTGGATATTTTCAATCAACAGGTAAAGGATGAATTATTCATTAATCATGCTGAGATAATTATTTAATAGTTTGGGGAAATTTTTCAGTTTTAGTCTAATCTTAATCCATACATCAAAATAAATTCCAGATGAATAAAAGATTGAATAGTAATAAGGAAAGAAAAGAAGGAAGGAAAACACAATAAAAGTACCAAAAAATAGAAAGTGGAGATGAATTTTATGCAATTTTGCGGTACAGAAGGTCTTTCTAAGCATTTCAACAAAGGTAGAAACCATAGGAAAAAACTGATATGATCACAGAAATAATATAAAACTTCTATATATCAAAACTACCATCAACAAAATTAAATGACAAACACCAAACCTGGAAAAAAATATTTTAACACAGACAGCAGTAGAAAGATTTCCATTTGTATTTTATAAAAGGCACTTAGAGATCAGCTGGGAAAAAGACAAATACAGAAGATTGTACCAAGCACAAGTGTACAAATGTATCAAAAAACAGTAATACAAATGGAATATTGATTGAGATATAAAGAAATGTTCAACCTCTCTAATAAATAAATGCAACTTAAACCAATCTTGAAATATCTTTTTTTGTGTGTCTATCTAATTGTCAAAGATACAGAATAATGTATCATACCTAGCTATGGGGAGGGAGTTTGGAAACAGGCAATTTCTTAGTCATTGGATAAGTAGAAACTCATACATCTCACCTGGCTTGATGACAATTCGAAAAAGTACCAAAAGACTCAACACTTCATTTTCTAGGAATTGACTCCAACACCAATGAACATACATCACATATTACAATGCTATTTATTAAAAGGAGGGTGGGGAGAGATTTTCAATGTCTAACACCAGAGAAATAGTAAACAAACTGCAGATATCTACATAATAACACCGGATGATGTGGAAAAGGAGAATGAGAATGCACTCAGGTAAGAAGAGAAGGAAAGCATTTTAACAACAATACGTGTGAACAGTCATGTGCGGTGGATGATGAGTTACATTTATTTTGTTCTTGATGAGCTATTTTTATTTTGTTCTTTATGCTCTGCTATACTTTTCAAGCTTTATAAATAAGTTTTCTTTTTAATTAACAGCTTTATAAATAAAACTTTATTCTTCTTTTTAAATTAATTTTATGGAAGCCTTGTTTACATTTCACCCATTTTGGTGGACACTGATTTTTGTAGGTTTCATGAACGGTGTGATCAATACAACAATCCAGTCTTACAGCCTGGCCTCATCCCAGGAACAGCCTTCGGCCCACCTATAGTCAATCATTCTTCCCACTCCTGCCCCAAACAACCACAAATCTACTTTCTATTTCTAGAGATTTGCCCTGTTTGGACATTTCATGAAAGGTCAGAGGTTTGACTTTATCAGCAGTTCCGTGGGGGACAACTGTGGCAATCTGCTTCTGTAAAGATTACCCACTGCCATCGAGTCAATTCTAGACAGAGTAGGACAGATCCTTAGGATTTCCAAGACAGTAAATCTTGGAGCAGACAGTCTCATCTTCCTTCCAATGAGCAGCTGGTGGGTTTGAACTGCCTATCTTGTGCTTAGCAGCCCAGTACTTAATTCACTACGCCACCAGAATTCACCATAAAAATTACAGCTTTGGAAATGCTATGGGGCAGTCCTATTCTGTTCTAGAGGGCATCAGGTTTAATTGGGGGGGGGGGCTTGAGATATTTCCATTATATGGAATCACATAATATGTAATATGTAATGTTCTGTATCTGGCTTTTTTCACTTAGCATGTTTGTTTGTTTTGGGGGGAAGTTAATCATGTTCCCTATTACTGTGGAAAACCACTGCTTTGTGTGGCTATACCACATTTTATTTATCCACTCACCAGTTGATGGGGATTTGGATTATTTTAATCAGTTCGAAATAAATACTAAACAGTGAATGTTCTAAAAAGTGAAGAAATAAATGCCACTTCCTGGAGTACTATTGCAGGCTTGCAGTTTGCATCAGGAAGGTATGCATGTGTCTGTGTGCAGGTACATATCTATGCTGAGCACATGTAATTAGAAAAAGATAGAAGAATGCATGTCAAAATATGAAGACGAGTGTTTTCCCTTAGTGTTAGTAGTATGTAGTTATTGTTAAATGCCATCAAGTCAATTCCGACCCATAGCTACCCTCTATAGGGTTTCCAAGGAGCAGCCAGTAAGCTTGAACCACTGACTTTGCAGTTCAAATGACTTTGCAGTGTGACGCATTAGCCCACAGTGCCACACCATAGCTGACTTTAATTTCCTTCTTTATGTTTTTTCTGTATTTAAAAAAGTTTTGCTGTGAACATGTGTTATATTTCTAATCAGGATAACCATCATGTGATTGTGTGTATGTGTTGGAAGGAAAATAAATGATCAAAATACCATATGACCCAGTAATTTCAGGAATATATATTTAGAAGAAAAAAAAATCAGAGCTATAAAAGCACATTTATGTATACTTAACCTAATTTTGAAACAAATGAATGTCCCCACACAGATTGCTAGTCAATACTTTAAAAATCCACCCACATGGCAGAATAACTTGTAGGCTTCGACAATCGAAGTATAGGCTGACAATGATACAGGGTCCAAGATTTGCTTTAAAATAAGACGACAGAGGTGATTGCGAAAGGGGCACAGATAGAGCAGAGAGGCCTTGGGTTGGTGATTGCTGGAACCAAGTGATGGATGCATGGGGTTTATTATACTATTATCTCTACTGCTATATTCCACCATCCGTCGTTTGTCATACTGTCAGAGCTTGCACGCTGCTACAATGCTGGAAGCTATGCCACTGATGTTTCAAATATTAGCAAGGTCACCGCTGGTGGGCAGT